CAGAAAGCTTGTAGTGTTGTTGGTGTGTATACTAGTATTTGTACGTGTGTGTGCATATGTGTGTGTCCATGTAGTTATTTTATTTTTTATTTTTTAAATTACAGTTGACATATACTATTATATAGTTTTAGGTGTACAACATAGTGATTAGACATTTATGTAACTTCCAAAGTGATCACCCCAATAAGTCTAGCACCCGCCTGGCACCATACATCGTTATTACAATGTTATTGACTGTGTTCCCCATGCTGCATTGCCACCTAGTTATTTTATATGATGGCATCAGGCTGTACGTATTTTCCTTCGCCATGCTTTTTTTTTTTTTTCACTCAACCTTATAGCACAGAAATCTTCCCATGTGGCATTGGGAGGTATAGGCATTTTTCGTTTTAACAGATTGCCTGCCAAAGAGCTGTCTAAAGGAGTCATATAATTTACATTTCCACAAAAGCATACAGAAAGCTTGTAGTGTTGTTGGTGTGTATACTAGTATTTGTACGTGTGTGTGCATATGTGTGTGTCCATGTAGTTATTTTATTTTTTATTTTTTAAATTACAGTTGACATATACTATTATATAATTTTAGGTGTACAACATAGTGATTAGACATTTATGTAACTTCCAAAGTGATCACCCCAATAAGTCTAGCACCCGCCTGGCACCATACATCGTTATTACAATGTTATTGACTGTGTTCCCCATGCTGCATTGCCACCTAGTTATTTTATATGATGGCATCAGGCTGTACGTATTTTCCTTCGCCATGCTTTTTTTTTTTTTTCACTCAACCTTATAGCACAGAAATCTTCCCATGTGGCATTGGGAGGTATAGGCATTTTTCGTTTTAACAGATTGCCTGCCAAAGAGCTGTCTAAAGGAGTCATATAATTTACATTTCCACAAAAGCATGTGGGATTGTCTATTTCATCACACCCTTACCCACACTTGATAATTTAAATCATATATATAAGACTTTTTTACTCTAGTCATCTTTTTTCTAATTATTTGGGATGTTCTGACTTTCTGTCGATTGCCATATAACGATTTCTCTCAGAAGGGCCACGGTTTTTAACAAATGTGATATCCTAATAGTGAATGGACCGTGATCTGGTCCCAGCCCACAGCCCAGTCTTCTCTACAAATTTCCATCACTCTCTACCCACTCCCATGCCTTGGACACACACACGTATTCCTATTCTGTGTTTTGCCTCATAGTGCCCCTGCCACCTGAATTCTGGAAGTCCTGTCCTCCATGCTTATGTAGTAAAATCATTCTTAGCTTTTAAATCCCTGCTCAAAAGACACTTCCTCCAGAAAGTCTTCCTTGATTTATCATATCCCAAACCATCTTTCCTCCCTTGTGTCCCCACTTATGTTCCTTTGCTTCTCTGTTACAGCCATTCTCATGACTGCAAATGCTGCCAACCAGCAGACAGGGTTCTGGAAGCACCAGGTGAGAGAATAGTGGTTCCAGGGTAGAGACAGACAGGAGGGGCATGCTGGCAGGGGGAAACTCCAATGCCAGATGCCGGCCAGGTGCCCCTTGGATAACCAGCAACCCTGAAGTTGTGGACAATCTTCTTTCCTTTAGCAAAGGCAGAAAATAGCCATGTTCTGACCTGGGTGATACTCACACTAGGCAAGACTTCGATGCGCCCTGGTGGTCCCCTAGGTCCAGGAGGTCCCACAATGCTGGTGCCATCCATCCCTCTTTCACCCTGGATACAATAATGAGAGCGGAGAAACAATTCACTGTGCATGGATAATGCTCCCAGAACCAGGCGGGACAGTCCTCACACCCCACCTCAGAGCTGTGACCTCACCTTGAGCCCCGGGTCTCCCTTTTCTCCTTTGAGACCCTGGCAAAACAAAGAAACAAAGATCCGTGTGTTGTTGTTTTTCTATTTACTTTGCTCACTCTCTATCTATCCTTGGATCTTGCCATCTCTCCATACACACTGACATGGATTTTGCCTCAGGCAAGGGGAGCAAAGGATGAGGGGCAAATTCCCCTCCCAGAGTCAGAAGGAATACCCCTCAGAGGGCGAGGAGACCAGAGTCCTCTCTTAGCACAGGGGGTGGGGGGTGGGGGTCTTCTTGACCCTGAGTCTCAGAGCCGGCATCTGGAGGATGGGGAAGGTCAGACTTCCCCTGGATTGAGTGCTCAGCTCTAGGTCCCATGTGATAAAGATAATGAGGTTCCAAAGGTTGGTCCTCATAACAGCAGGTATCATAGCAGAAGATAGACAACACTTCCGGCCTCCCTGGGACTAGATGCATCAGGGAGGGGCACCTTCAAGCACTAGCTTTGAAATGGGTCAAAGTGTGAGTATTGAATGGGGCAGCAAGAAGGAGGCAATGAAGCAGAGATGCTGGATGGTGAAGGACTGGAGAGAGAGAGAGAGAGATTCCCCACAGGATGTTTTGTGCAAAACTTCTGTACTGCTCCTCAAAGAAACACTCGGTAAAGAGCACCTAGGCTCCCATTGCACAGCTGGGAGCTGGAGGCACAGAGAGGGTGAGTTATTGAAAGTAGCAGAGCCAGTCCCCTCACTCCAGCATGACAGGCCTTGAAATGAAGTTTCCAAAAGCCAACCTTGCCCAGCCAGTGTGGCTCAATGGTTGAGCGTTGACCTGTGAACCAGGAGGTCACAGTTTGATTCCTGTTCAGGGCACATGCCTGGGTTGTGGGCTCGATTCCCCAGTAGGGGGCGTGCTGGAGGCAACCAATCAACAATTCTCTCTCATCATTGATGTTTCTATCTCTCTCTCCCTCTCCCTTCCTCTCTGAAATCAGTAAAAATATATTTAAAAAGTAATTCAACCTACATTTGAAGCATTTGGTCCTGAGAGTCTGGGTTCATGCCGTGGCCTGATGGTTCCAGAGCCTTCAGTATACTAAGGAAGGAAGAAGAATGAGAAATTCAGGCCCAATTCCTGAGCACCTGCTAGCGCCAGGTGTGGTTTTGGGAGCTGGAGCTTGGTGGGAATCAGCACAGCCCCTGCCCTCAAACCGGGGTCCAATCTACTGGTCTTCAATCTACTGCCCAGTAACCCTTAGGGCATATTGCTCTTCAACCAAAGATAGGGTGCAAGTACCTGAAATTCAGGTTCCATTGTACACTCAGGGCCTGGGGGACCTGGGGGCCCAGGAGGCCCTGGGGGTCCCATGATCCCAGGAGTGCCAACTTGTCCATTTTTCCCTGGGCGTCCTGGTGAGCCTCTGTTGCCGGGGTCACCCTGTAGGGAAGAGGACAGGCTGACTACCCAGCCCTGGGTTATACACAGAAGGAAGGACATAGACCCCGAGTCAGAAAATCATTCTTCAAGCTTAATTAGGCTGATGAATCTGATGGTTACTGCTTAATGGTACAGAAATGGCTGTCGGGCTAATTGACATTGCGCTCGATAGGCAGAGGCACTCATGTGAGCACACGTGTGTGGAAGGGTGAGGAAGGAGAAACACTGCAGGTTACTCACTCTCCTCCAGCGCCAGCTTCCTGTCCTCCCCTGTGGTCCCTCTGAGATGTTTCTCTCTGCCCCACGCACTGATGCTTTCAGTGCTCCAGCCCCACAGTCCGATCACAGTGAACCCAGAGAAAGGGAAGGAAGGAGGAAAAGCTTTTCTTTTTCTTTTTTTACCTTTTCACCAACGGAGCCATTAGGCCCTCTTGCTCCCTGGAAAACAAACAAACAAAACAGAGTCAACAGGTCAACTGATATCTCTCATTAGGTGTGTTCAGAAGGGAATTTAGAACTATGGACTCTTAAGTCACAGGATATTAAAATGGGTCTCTTCCTCTCTCGGTTTGGGCTGATGTCTCAAAGCTGAGTGCACTATGAGAGTTGTCAGTTGCAGGCAAGTCATGCTGAAGGCTTGTGCGACCCATTGTTCAATGATTAGCTCATCACCTACCTCAAGAGTAAGAAGGAGTTGAAGTTTAACCACGGGAGCTCATAGAGGAAGAATTCCTGTGGCGCTG